CAATAATATTTAGTTCCCTCGTTTTAAGTAAATATTGCGCACAATAATATTTCGTTCCTTCGTTTTAAGTAAACAGTGCGCACAATAATATTTCGTTCCTTCGTTTTAAGTAAACAGTGCGCACAATAATATTTCGTTCCTTCGTTTTAAGTAAACAGTGCGCACAATAATATTTCGTTCCTTCGTTTTAAGTAAACACTGCGCACAATAATATTTAATTCCCTCATTTTAAGTAAACATTGTGCACAATAATATTTCGTTGCTTTGTTTTAACTAAATATGCGCACAATAATATTTTTTTCCTTCGTTTTAAGTAAATAGTGCGCACAATAATATTTTGTTCCCTCATTTAAAGTAAGCTGTGCGCAATAATAATTAGTTCCTTAGTTTTAAGTAAATAGTGCGCACAATAATATTTTGTTCCCTCATTTAAAGTAAGCTGTGCGCAATAATAATTAGTTCCTTAGTTTTAAGTAAATAGTGCGCACAATAATATTTTGTTCCCTCATTTAAAGTAAGCTGTGCGCAATAATAATTAGTTCCTTAGTTTTAAGTAAATAGTGCGCACAATAATATTTTGTTCCCTCATTTAAAGTAAGCTGTGCGCAATAATAATTAGTTCCTTAGTTTTAAGTAAATAGTGCGCACAATAATATTGTGTTCCCTCGTTTTAAGTAAATAGTGCGCACAATAATATTGTGTTCCCTCGTTTTAAGTAAATAGTGCGCACAATAATATTTCGTTCCTTCGTTTTAAGTAAACAGTGCGCACAATAATATTTCGTTCCCTCGTTTTAAGTAAACAGTGTGCACAATAATATTTTTTCCTTCGTTTTAAGTAAATAGTGCGCTCAATAATATTTAATTCCCTCGTTTTAAGTAAACAGTGTGCACAATAATATTTAATTCCCTCGTTTTAAGTAAACAGTGCGCACAATAATATTTTTTCCCTCGTTTTATGTAAATACTGCGCACAATAATATTTCGTTCCCTCGTTTTAAGTAAATAGTTCGCACAATAATATTGTGTTCCCTCGTTTTAAGTAAATAGTGCGCACAATAATATTTCGTTCCCTCGTTTTAAGTGCGCACAATAATATTTCGTTCCCTCGTTTTAAGTGCGCACAATAATATTTTGTTCCCTTCGTTTAAAGTAAGCCGTGAACAATAATAATTCGTTCCCTATTTTAGTAAATCATGCTCACGATATAATAATTCGTTTCCTCGTTTTACTAACTTGTGCTCACAATATCATAATTCGTAACCTCGTTTAATTTAACTAAAATGTGGTCACGGTTTAGTAAAATAAAGGAAACTAATTCTTAATTCGTGACCACAGTTTATATTTTATCATATGTTTCAGCACCGCGCTGGCATTTATTGTGTGTGAGATTAAAGACAGGCCTACATATTAATTTGTGACTTGAGGCGAAGTTGGCTTTCGCGGCTGAAACAAATAATGTAATCTTATAATCTTGCCCTAATGTGAATTTGGAGTGTTTTAAATGAGTGGCCGGGTGCAGGAGCTTAGTCATTTGCATAAAACACGCTCAAATCTCAATATAAGGGGCTTTCCGCACAACCTTTCCTTCAAAGACTTTCGTCAAACATATGCCGCTCTCACCACATCTCAAGTGATGTCAAGTATGCCTGTGACGGTTTACTGTGACGGTTTACTGTTTACTGTGACGGGTTGGTAACTGATGTGACGGGGTGGTTTACTTTGACGGGGTGGTTTACTGTGACGGGGTGGTAACTGATGTGACGGGGTGGTTTACTGTGACAGGGTGGTAACGTTTACTGTGACGGTTTACTGTGACGGTTTACTGTTTACTGTGACGGGTTGGTAACTGATGTGACGGGGTGGTTTACTTTGACGGGGTGGTTTACTGTGACGGGGTGGTAACTGATGTGACGGGGTGGTTTACTGTGACAGGGTGGTAACGTTTACTGTGACGGTTTACTGTGACGGTTTACTGTTTACTGTGACGGGTTGGTAACTGATGTGACGGGGTGGTTTACTGTGACAGGGTGGTAACGTTTACTGTGACGGTTTACTGTGACGGTTTACTGTTTACTGTGACGGGTTGGTAACTGATGTGACGGGGTGGTTTACTGTGACAGGGTGGTAACGTTTACTGTGACGGTTTACTGTGACGGTTTACTGTTTACTGTGACGGGTTGGTAACTGATGTGACGGGGTGGTTTACTGTGACAGGGTGGTAACGTTTACTGTGACGGTTTACTGTGACGGTTTACTGTTTACTGTGACGGGTTGGTAACTGATGTGACGGGGTGGTTTACTGTGACAGGGTGGTAACGTTTACTGTGACGGTTTACTGTGACGGTTTACTGTTTACTGTGACGGGTTGGTAACTGATGTGACGGGGTGGTTTACTGTGACAGGGTGGTAACGTTTACTGTGACGGTTTACTGTGACGGTTTACTGTTTACTGTGACGGGTTGGTAACTGATGTGACGGGGTGGTTTACTGTGACGGGGTGGTAACTGATGTGACGGGGTGGTTTACTGTGACAGGGTGGTAACGTTTACTGTGACGGTTTACTGTGACGGTTTACTGTTTACTGTGACGGGTTGGTAACTGATGTGACGGGGTGGTTTACTGTGACGGGGTGGTAACTGATGTGACGGGGTGGTTTACTGTGACAGGGTGGTAACGTTTACTGTGACGGTTTACTGTGACGGTTTACTGTTTACTGTGACGGGTTGGTAACTGATGTGACGGGGTGGTTTACTGTGACGGGGTGGTAACTGATGTGACGGGGTGGTTTACTGTGACGGGGTGGTAACTGATGTGACGGGGTGGTTTACTGTGACGGGGTGGTAACTGATGTGACGGGGTGGTTTACTGTGACGGGGTGGTAACTGATGTGACGGGGTGGTTTACTGTGACGGGGTGGTAACTGATGTGACGGGGTGGTTTACTGTGACGGGGTGGTAACTGATGTGACGGGGTGGTTTACTGTGACGGGGTGGTAACTGATGTGACGGGGTGGTTTACTGTGACGGGGTGGTAACTGATGTGACGGGGTGGTTTACTGTGACGGGGTGGTAACTGATGTGACGGGGTGGTTTACTGTGACGGGGTGGTATGGACAAGTCATGTACACCATATGTAAAAACAGTTAATCTTCAGTGATAGGCCTGCTTCTTTTTCTCTACAAGTGTCCATTTATTTATAATCCTAACTCAGAATCAGAAAGAGCTTTAAGCTTTGGAAACACACTTTGGGACATTTTTTGTGCCTTATGCATCTCATCGAATGTTGCGGACCCAATGGCACCCGTTTCGTAGAATGACTCATATGGAGTGTATACACGATGTAAATAATAGATTGATCTCGCAGTGTAGAGAAATTCATTGGTCATAATAGAACTTCCCTTATGAAAATTAACCATGGGTTTACTGTAGCATTTGCAGTAAAACCATGGTAACTACAAAATTAACCATGGTTTTACTACAAGAATCATGGTTTAACTATAGTTTTTGTAGTAAAACCCTAGTAACAACAGAATTATCCATGGTTTTACCATAGAATTTGCAGTAAAACTATGAAAACTACAAAATTAACCATGGTTCCCTTTCAAGCGAACTTCGAACTACGTCCTCTAGGGGTCACTATGGGGAATGCCTCGTCGTGACCCGTGTCTGAAGCATACATTGAAAAAACACCAACAACACGTTGGCCGGCGACAGCCCATGACATCACTACCGGTGCGATTATAGTATAAATAGGCGCCGGGAGAACATGTCATTCACTTCTTCGTCTTCACTGACCGTTTTGTTTGAAGCGTGCATTTCCGTGGTAAGAGCGATCTATATTCCTATCGTTATGGCGAGCACTAGCAAAGCGTTTAGAGGGTGTGTGCATCCGCGTCGTCGTTATTGTTTTCAATGTTGATAATGAGAAGAATTGTGTTCAGAGCAGCAAATCAGCATATTAGAATGATTACTGAAGGATCATGTGACACTGAAGACTGGAGTAATGATGCTGAAAATTCTGACTAATTTTTTTACTTTAAAGTGTAATAATCCTGTTAGCTTAAGATAAACGGTTTTCTTCATTCAGTTTAAGTTTCGTTTCTGGTCTTGTATGTTAATTGTATAGGTTCATTTACATAACAGAGAGTGTCTGTGACCTCGATTTTCCTAAAAACACTCAATAAGTTATTGGTCTCTGTCTGATTTTCAGTAGACCCACTGGGAGAAATACACTAGGTTCAGGTGGCATGATGAATAGAGTTTTGTTTCCAGGCAGGTGCAAGCAGTATGTGTGCCAAATGATCTCCTGCTGAGGAAAAAAACTCCTTTAAGTGAACACGTGTAGCTATTTCCTTCTATGTGCTGATGAATAAACATGCTTCCAAGTCATTCTTTTGTTCCTACAACAGTTTTCTTTCAGTCAGTCCCACTTATGCAGACTACTGGAATAATAATGTGTTTAGCATTTGGCAAAAACACTTATATAAAAAAAATAAAAAAAACCTTTTTCAGCATCTCAAAATGTAAGTATTTACTGAAGTGCATAGAAGAATTATAATTCCAAAAGATTTCTAAATGTGAAAATACATTAAAATGCTTTTTTTCCCCCTCTCAAACAGACAGTAGCCAAAACTAAACATACAGGTGTGCACGTGGAAATCTCCTTTACTTGCTACTAAGTGCCTCAAACAAAACCATGAATATCTTTCAAAGTTGTGCTGGCATGAACCTCGCAAACAGGCTCACCTTTATGTGCTGGTTGCTGGAATCTCTGAGCAGTGGATTGGGCAGCCCAGCGCTGTGTTTCCTCCAGCAGTTGAACAGATCCAGCACCACTGTGCTGAGGCCCGCTGGCCACTCCTCCAGAAACTTCTGCCCCACCACCTTCAGATACCGCATCATCAGCTCCAGGATGCCGCCGTTCTGCATGTTCGCCAACAGGAACGCGTGAACGTCCTTCCGCTCTGAGGAACCATGAAGGACAGAGAGAACAATTAAAGGTCCACTGAAGTGCCTTGAAACACGCAGCATTATGCTATGTGGTGACGTAATTTCAACTAAAACAGGAAGACGGGGCGGGACATATCGAGCAGCCCCGCCCCCCTTTTAAATAGCCAATAGCGTTTCAGCTTGGGCCAGAGGCCTTTGAGCTCGGTAAAGCCGCATTTGACAGCTTATGACAGCCTCGGTCTAATAGATTAGCCCTTTAGATTCAATATGAAACTGTTACTAAAGCAAAACAGTGATTATAATGATGCTGAGGATGTGTAGTTTGAAAACTGTGTAATTTATGTTGGTGCAGGGCACCGATGTTATCTCTTCTTCTCGTTGGTGCCATTTGTCTAACCGTTTCTCCTCCTAATCTGATCCAAATCACTATAAAATATAGCATTCTGTGTAGAATTTAAATGGGTCCGATACATTTTGTGGTATGCGCGACTCGCGCATATGAGCCGCTCCGTGATATCGTGTCTCTGGACCGGAGCAGACTGTGTGCGTGACACAAAGCGAAACCAGACTTCTTTCGACCCAATGGAAAGCATATTTACAATGTCTGAATCGTTCCTTATTCCCCATATAATGCACTACGTGCCATTCAGCATACGGAAAGTACTAATTCTATGAACAAGTGACCTATTTCAGCCGCAGTTTCCGTGTCTATTTATAGTGTAGGGGTGGGACATTTCAGATTCTAGAGAGCATTTGATTGGACAAAGTTTGATGAGAAGCTGAAGTGCAGGGTCACATCATCAAAACCGTTGATTCATATTGCCAGAAGTGAGAGACAGTAAGTTTTGAATGCTTATATCTTCTAAATACGAATTTTGTCATCATTTTGGAGCACACTAGCTTATATATAACTATAAGGCTAACATGTTCATACTAAAAGCCAAAAAAATTCAACTTTGATTTCATGGGGTCTTTAAGCATTAGCGGAGCTTCTCAATCGACCACTTCACACAACATTCATTCAACTCCCTCAAGAGCCAAACATGCTCCATTCAAACGCTAGATTCTCTCGAAAATCAGGCGAGAACAGAATCTGTTGCCACAAATGCACTCATGCAAATGCTGACTACTATCCCTCAGTTGAGAATCAAAGAAGAAAAGAGCTTCTTAACACCTTTCAGTCAGTCCCGCGAATGCATCAAAAATGAGCACATCCAGCTTCCAGAGTCGAATGCACTCCATCCAGCTTTTTCACTGAGAAATTGTCACAATGGGCTCATTCAGCTCCCTCAAAATCTTTAGTCACATTCTTTGCATGTACCCAAACCGTCTCCTGAAGACAAAGAAGTGCATGACAGACACCCATTTATACTCACAGTCACACTGGTAGGTACATCATAGGCTGTCACCAGCCAATATCAAGTCCATGTGTTTTGAAATGTGCTTCAGATACCGGTCATGCTGGATGCATTCCCCATACTGTCCACTAGAGGACGCAGTGTGATTTCCCATTCGAAAGGGAAATGTTATCTATAGGCCTACTGTAATTGAGACATTTCTTCAAGAAATTAATTATAAACAAAGTCATTTAGTGCAGAGGAAATTTAATGTCGGAGTGGGATTTGATCGAACGTTATTTTACCGTTGAGTGTGAGCGGTACATGAGTGGAGCATTCGCTTGGGCCATGAGCAACTGAGCAGAACGCATTGGCATAGAGCACAATATTGAGTTGAGTGTCACACCGCTCTGCTTCACTCAAATGCTCTGGCATATACCATTAGAAAAAAGATTATTTGTATATAAATAATCATTAGTAGACAGACTAACATGATAAGCTGGCTTTGATGTAAAATAAGTAGTGGTGGAAAGAGTACTATGAAACGTCTCAGGTTACTTATGTAACCATTGTTCCCTGAGTAGGGAACGAGACCCTGCGTCCTCTAGGTTTCTTGCCATGCTGCGGACGCAAGCTTCAGACGAAGAAGTGTATGATGTGTTCTCCCGGTGCCTATTTATACTATAATCGCACCGGTAGTGATGTCATGGGCTGTCGCCGGCCAACGTGTTGTTGGTGTTTTTTCAATGTATGCTTCAGACACGGGTCACGACGAGGCGTTCCCCATAGCGACCCCTAGAGGACGCAGTGTCTCCTTCCCTACTCAGGGCACCATGGTTACATAAGTAACCTGAGACGTTTTACTACAATAATCGTAGTTTAACTATAGTTTTTTGTAGTAAAACCATAGTAAGCACAGAATTATCCATGGTTTTACCATAGAATTTGCAGTAAAACCATGAAAACTACAAAATTAACCATGGTTTTACTACAATATTCATGGTTTAACTATGTTTTTGTAGGTAAATTACAGTAACTACAAAATTAACAATGGTTTTACTACAGTATTAACAGTGAAACCATATTAACCATGTACCTATAGGCTAGCTTAACTGTGTTTTCTAGTAAAACCATAAAACACCAAATTAAATATGGTTGCACTATCTGGTTTATAGAGAAACCTGCTGTAGTCTGTCCGTCATTGATGTAAATCAAAGCACAAAGAAAAAGAGAAATCACTCTCTGCTCTTCTCGCTGATTAACTTTTGTAGCTTGAATAAAGATGAATCTATATAGTTTATGCATATACAGTTGGTAGTTTGTGTGAAGATTGTTTTAAGTTCAATTAAAATTTGTTATATTTGTTTTTCAGAGCCTTTAAAATGTTAATAATAATGGCTCTTATACTGTAACATTAAATGGCTATAATTCATGGGTAAAATTGAGGGGAAAATGCATTTAATAGAAACATCAGCAGCAGTATTGGTATCAATAATACTGACCTTCATTAATAATAAGCTACTTTGTAAAAAGATGTCATTAAACACATATTCAAAATATACTATCTTTAAGTTGTTTCTATATTAATATATTAATTAATTAATTAATATTCAGTGTGAAATTATGACAATATAAATATATTAATATGCAATTAATCACAATTAATTACAGAAAAATGTGTGATTAATTAATTTTTTCGATTGACAGCCCTAATGTTATCCTCTTCTAGATGTTACTGTTGGTAATATTAGTTACTTTTACTGCTGAATATGCATTTCAATTTAATTTCTAATTTTATAGGCCCCCTTCAGATTTTCAATGCGATAATCCGGCCCTCAAATGAAGCTGATTGAATAGCCCTGCCATATGGGCTTCATAAAGTGGGACCAATATGGGTCTTATGTATGTTGCCCAGTTGGGCCCCATTCAGGTTCTATATGAGGTTCATATGGGCTATAGGGCCCACGTGGAACCAGCAGACAACCCCATCTAGGGCCCATATTTATAACCCATATGGGGCCACATTGGCCCCACCTCAGAATGTTGGCTGGGGATTAGTCAACATTCATTGAATTTTATATTATCAATGAACCTTTCAACAATTCTCACTTAAGATCTTTTTGCAAAACATATAACTGAAAAGTAAACACTGAATGTATATATCATTTTATTAGTTGTCAAAATAAATTAATAGCTACAGTGTAGCCTACAGAGTCCGGTACGTGACATGCAGGAAAAAAAGTAACAACAATAATATTTCGTTCCCTCGTTTTAAGTAAATAGTGCGCACAATAATATTTCGTTCCCTCGTTTTAAGTGCGCACAATAATATTTTGTTCCCTTCGTTTAAAGTAAGCCGTGAACAATAATAATTCGTTCCCTATTTTAGTAAATCATGCTCACGATATAATAATTCGTTTCCTCGTTTTACTAACTTGTGCTCACAATATCATAATTCGTAACCTCGTTTAATTTAACTAAAATGTGGTCACGGTTTAGTAAAATAAAGGAAACTAATTCTTAATTCGTGACCACAGTTTATATTTTATCATATTTTTCAGCTCAGCGCTGGCATTTATTGTGTGTGAGATTAAAGACAGGCCTACATATTAATTTGTGACTTGAGGCGAAGTTGGCTTTCGCGGCTGAAACAAATAATGTAATCTTGTAATCTTGCCCTAATGTGAGTTTGGAGTGTTTTAAATGAGTGGCCGGGTGCAGGAGCTTAGTCATTTGCATAAAAACACGCTCAAATCTCAATATAAGGGGCTTTCCGCACAACCTTTCCTTCGAAGACTTTCGTCAAACACATGCCGCTGTCACCACATCTCAAGTGATGTCAAGTATGCCATTTCCTAAACCAGCTGAAACACAATAAACACCTTTTACACAGACCCTCATTACAGTAGAAACCTCACAGCTGAGACTGTAGCCTACATCATAAAATGCCTTTAAGATGACATTAAATTGTGTTATTTAATACTTGTATTTTATAACTTTATATATAATGAATATGCTATAATTATAGTTGTATTAAATGAAATATAACGTATTAACAAGGCCGCTTTCGCGCAGGCTTTAAGCTGTAGTGCAGGCTACCTCGTTATTAATGTGGAACTTTGCAATGTCCTCCCTCCGCGCTGTTTCAGCCCTCTGCTCTCCTGACCTTTTCAAACCTAACTCAGTGAATAGGCTTGGAGTTTATTTCCACCAAACCAGATTCGATGATTGTTGGAGCAGTCGAAAGACAGACTGAAGTGATTTTGGTGAATTTTATTTCGATTCTGTCGAGTTTGTAAAGTCAGCGTTTAAATGCCTTCTTTTTGTTCTTATTTTCCAACTCCTCTTTTTTAGTTCTTATTTAACTCTCTTGTTTTAGCCCATTTCATATAATTTAAATTACGTACAGCTTGTTTTTGTATGAATGAGACATGATATAATCGCATTACTATTTGTGCATAAATTATCTTATTTGGATACCAAAATGTCATTGATATGCTATAATGCTTGTGCAAAGTAAACAATATGATCAATAAGTTAATACATTTTGTAACCTTCACAGACATCAACAGGAAAAATCTGTATTTCTTTTTATCTGTTGAGTTAAATTGGTGCATATTTGCGTTTGCTATGCTGGTATTATTATTATTATTAATTATCTAATTACAA